GAAAAAACAATATATATATATATATATATATATATATATATATGCCAAATGTTTCTTTTTGCTACTCTGTAGGTAGGACGAAGTTTTTTTGTCTTTTTTTTTTTATGTGTCGTATCATTCGTTTTTCCACAGTTTCCACGTTACTTGAGTATACGAATTTATATTTGTATTTTTTCTCTTTCTTTCGTTCCATCTTCTTTGGAGGGTACTTTTTATGTGAACATTTTTTTTCCCGTCTTGTTTTTTTTTTTATTTAAGGTGGGGGGCGTGGGAGGAGTTTTCTGAGACCACTTGGTTGGCCGCCATTATCAGCGTCACGAGAGGAGTGACAATGCCGCCGAAGCTCGTCCCGCTCCCGCGCAAACCGACGGCTCAGCTACCTTCCCTTAGCAGCGATGACGACATTACGCTTGGCAACATACGTGTGGGACCAAGTGGAGTGGAGTTCACTGGAGAAGGTGATCTACACGTTCCTCGTCAGGACATCTCCCTTGACGCGCTGAAGTGTATGGAATGCTTGGGAAAGGGGACGCAAGGCAGTGTCCGCAAGTGCATCGATCAAAAGGACAATGCGGTGTATGCGGTGAAGGAGCTTCTTATTCCCAGAACCACGGATCGTATGAATAAACTTACTGTTGCAGGGGAGTTTCGCAACATTTTCTGGCAGGGGACGAATACATACACTGTGAAGCTTTACAATGCCTTCTATAGAGATGGAACACTTCATCTTGTTATGGAGTATATGGACTGGGGGAATTTAGAAGAACTGATCTCTATTCAACCTGTCATTCCAGAACCTGTATGTGCCTACATTGCATCACAAATCTTGCATGCATTACAAATAATTCACACAAAGAACAATTATCCTACCGAAACTGATCAAAAAGAACGTCGTCAGATTCACCGTGATATAAAACCAGCCAATCTAATGCTTTCTATGGATGGCGTTGTGAAGCTTACTGATTTTGGCATTGCTGCAAGTGCAGAAACAATTGGCGTCAATTCTTTTGTGGGTACTGTCACATATATGAGCCCAGAACGGATTCAAGGACGGACATATAGTACTCCAAGTGACATCTGGAGCGTAGGTGTACTCATCGCCCAGCTGCTGCTCGGACGATTCCCCTTTTCCGCCGCAACAATAGGGTTTATGGCGCTTTTACACCAAGTGATGGAGTGTAAATCGTTTTCTTTGGTTTCCGAGTGTAAATGTTCCCAGAGGGCTGAGGATTTTATCAACCAATGTATTCGTCAAAAACCAGCTGATCGTGGCACAGCTGCTGAGCTTCTGCAAGATGAGTGGATTGTTGAAAATGCCTCAAATGGGAGAGATGTTCTTACGAAGTTGTTGAACACGGTAGGTAAACCGGCTCGTACTGTGAATTGTGCAAGGTAAAGAGGAGATGCCCCGCATATTTCGTTACTTTCTTCCCATGCACATAAATTTACACGCATTTTAGGATGGATTCCAAATATTGTACTTTTCCACCATTAACAATTATTTTATTTGTATTATTTTTTGCTTGTTTGCTCTTTGCTCACTCCAGTTCTTTATTTAGTCTTGGACATGAAATGCAGGTGGATAACAGCCAAATGAAAACGGTAGAAACGTATGTTGGGGAAGGGATAACGAGAAGGAAGCAAAAGAAAAAAAAAGGGATTGGGAGAGTGGAACAGCACTGGGAATCCCTCATACATGGATTTATGTTTACTCTTTTGCTTTTTGTGACTAAATGTTCATTCCACGTTGTAATTTGGGGTGGAAAAGAAAGGGTAAGGAGAGATAAAGAAAAAGCGACAAAAAAAAAAGGTGCAATAAACGTAAAATGTGTGGTTGAGTGTTTTGCGTTTATTACGCACTTGCTTCTCCCACTACTTACCGCCACCCCATAGGATACACATAAATGGCACTGTATACTGTCCAGGGGGCCGTGGTGGCAGCTGGACAATTTCACTATCGCTTTCCTCATCAGACTGTGCAGGAAAGTGAAAGAGATCCCGGAAGGCAATGATGAAGATTTGGCTTCTCTGCACTGTTGCACCCACCTACTTTGGCTCCTTCCACTCTACAAGTATATTTTATTTTGGCCACAGGAACTGGCTGCCTGTATCTATCTATATTCTCTCTATCTCTGTCTCTTGGCGCAGAGGAGAAAGTATATGGAGGAAAAGGACCGTCTCTAAAAAAAAGAAAAAAAAAAGCAAGGTGAAAAAAAGAATCAAGCGAAGTCTTTTAACGAAAAGAAAAGAAAAAAAATGCACCAAACAAAGCAGTTTCTGGAAACATTTGCTATGGACACGGAGATGGCAGACACCGATGCACCCAGTGGTTTACTTGGCAGGGTAGGTTCTAACACAATAGCTCCTAGTAGTGTGAAACCTCACAGACTTGCCACTACGGTTGACCAAAGGCATACGTCAATCCGTTCACAGTTAGACCGTCTAGCTAATTCTTCTATCGGTGGAGCCTCACGCATGTTGGCCCCGCTTGTGCGTCCTAGTGATGGCAACGTCATGGATCCTTTGCGTATGCTCCATAAGTGCATTCGTTATTTTGCAAGTCATCCCGAAATTTATGGAACTAACCTTAATGCCTTGTTGGACCGCGAACTCATGTATGTCATGCGAGTAAAAGCCTCTGAGGCGGCGCTTCTTGCCCCAGGGATGGTTCCTGTTTTTGCTTCCTCATTACCAGCCATCAATACTTCCAAAACAAAGGGTGCTAAGCTTCGACACCCTGCCTTAGAGAAGTGCGCAGGGTGGATGGTCACCCCGCGTTCGATTGAGGCCGCTGTTTCTGCGGGCACAGTCGTCAGAGGTGGTGGGATGTTTGGATTTGGAGCCACAAGCTTTGTGGAGGGCACTCCTGGTTTTTTTTCGCTTCTTGATAAGGCGAGTCGACGCGTGGAGCTGCACGAGGAACGTGTCCCGGCTGAGGTCTCTGAGATTGAGGGTGGTAGTTCCTGCCATACGTCTAGCGCCACTGATTTTTCGCATTTAGAGAGGAGCGTTTCTTCTCAGGAAAAACCTCTTCAGCAAGACGCCGCACGCGTGCGATTTATTTCGTCTTCTGAAGAATTTCCTTTATCTTCTGTTTCTGGGCGCCCGCAAGCCGATGCTGGCCCAATGCTACTTGTTGATGGAACAAGCTACGAAGTGTCCTTCCTGCGATCGCAACTGCAGCAGGTAGAGGCAGCGTACAATGCCAAGTGCATTTTACATCATGAGTTACAGCAGGAAAACACGCAACTGAAGTCGCAGCTAAATGTGATAGAGAAAAAAATGCAGCAGTATCAATCACGTAATCAGGAGATGCGAGTACAAATGGAGAGCATGAAAAGAGAACTGGATGCTTGGAAGCAGCGTGCCAGTGAGTTGAATATTTCTGGACAGAACGACAACCCTCAGAGTTCTTCTGAAAGTTCACGTCGTATGCAATCCATGCAGCTTGGTCAGGCAAAGCGTGAGTTGTTGCACATGTCGCGTCTTTGGCGAGAGACAGAGAAATCTTTGCAGGAAACTAAAAGGGCCCTGGAAAGTGCTGAAAATGAGGCACAACTTTCACACAGCTATCTGGAGGATGCGTTTTACTTAATTGAGCGCCTGGAGCGACGAATTGTGCGGCGCGACCATTACATCGAGATACAAGGACGACGTCAGGCTTCTTCAGAAGAAAAGTGTGAAAAACTTATGTGGTGTCTTGAGGAGCTGCGTACTATAAATGGAGGGAGTTCCTACGTGGATTACCTTCTCTCTCAGGACGATGTGTGGTCATTATTTCTTTTTGTGCGTCTGCAGCGACGTTTTATGGGATACGCTCAAGTTGAAGAAACGGTTCCAGTTAATGTGGAACCACTTTTCTTCCAACGCACACCACTTGGCGGTCAATTTGTTGATATGTACAGTCCAAGCCTTCTACTACGACTCGTGACAGATTCAGGCTTGGGAAAAACAGGAAATATGAATAAGGTGTCTACAGTAAAATTGAGGACTCATCTACCGCGCTGGCGTGCTATGTATACTATTGATTTTATGCCCATCAACGGTGTTGAGAGCTCAGACATTAATACTGCAGAAGGTACAGTGACGCGCATTGGGAATTCGCGTCGTTCTTTTCCTGTTCTTTCACTGACATCCCTTCTTCTTCCACAGCAAAACTCTACCTTGATGGGTGGCTTTCATGAGGATGAGAAGGTGCCAAACACGGCACACTATGATAAAGCGACTCTTCGTCTGGTATTATATTCCTTTTGGAGTGAGCGGTTGCTTCAGTACAAAAAAGAAATGGAGAGGCGTCTGAGGGAGTTAAAGGCATCACGCCATGTATTGACTGGGCCTCTTCCTGAGGAAGCAGGCACAACAGATGATGATGAAGTGGAGAGTACATCATTTTATCCAGCAACATTTCTGGCTGCGCTAGTTGATTTTGTGCATCGCACTTATCCGCCAAGCACGACACCAGCAGATACTTCAATGGATAAACCGAAGAGAATTGTGGTGAGGGGCCAGGCAGGTAGAAGCGAACGAGCTTTAGACGGCGGACACTTTCTTTTTGCCTCTATTATCTCTATTCAAAGCGATGGCACAGAAGTACCTTTGATACTCTCAACCCAGGCTCGTGAGCTACTATTTGCACTATACTATTATGCTGAAGAATACAAGGAGGTGGATGCAGACTTTCGACTATTTTATCTTACTGCCCATCAGCAAATTCCAGAAATTGTGGGTGTTAATTTTTGGGCTAGCCTAGAGGCTTTACGCAAAGATTTTGAAAACGCCCTTTGTCGTCATCTGGGTTTTCAATCGTTGGATGAATCCGAATTGGGCATTACGACGGACCATGATGCAATGCCGCAGGAGAAGGTGGTTGAACACAAAATTATTGATGAAACTCCATTTCACGCCTTGAATAAAGCCGTGAATATTATTGATACAGCCCCCCTGGTGGAACAGAGCACCTGCATGGAGCCCGATAGCGATGAGGAGGGATATGGTCTCATCTTAGCAGGGAATCAGACAAACAATGGTCCACTGGGATCCCAGCAGGGGCGGGTGGATGAGCCTAAAAAGGTTGATTCCAACACCTTAAAACACAATATTCGTGATTATTTATTTCCTCCTCCTGAGGAAGAGTCTGCCTCACCTACAACACCGGCGAAAAGTGTGATGAAGGATTCTTCAGTAACGGACACAGATGCTTGTACAACCAAGAAGGGGGAAATTCCAGCGGCGTGGGTGACTCTTGATGAAAGACTTGGAGCCATTTTGGGTCCACATGCGTCCTTATTGAAGGCTTTTAGGGCGAATAAGGGCCCAGATATATCCAAAGAGCAACGATGCAGGCGCCAGCGTTTTAAGAAAGAAATTGTGTCCAACTCAGCATCACGTGGTCTTCTTCCTTTTGATGAAGTTTTGGAATTAATGTATAAGCATTGCTTTGCTACGTATGCTGTTTCCTGTTGTGGCGGGGCACGTTTCTCGCTTGTAGAGGCCTTAACACAATCTGGAGATAGCGATATTGTGGATGGCATTTTAAATTCACCAGAACACCTCACAAAGGTGGGTTGGCTTCCTCCCTCAGAAACACAGATGCGACGTTTGCGATTTGCTATAGGAATGGATCAGCCATCCCCGCTTTTGCGTTTTACGGATTTTTTTGATGTAGATTCCCGTCACGGCGTACCCACACATTTCCATGATGAGTATCTGCAAATAACATTGGATACATATATGCAGCATCAAGAGGCATGGATGAATACTCTTTTGAGGTATGTTGTTTCGAGCGATGATGCAGAGTCTCTGCGGGGTATTGATGAATCAGATACGACTGTCCCTTTTCCACTCATTCGAAACGGTGTTTTACGCGTATTTCGTCAAATATTACAGAGTCCTGAACAGGGCAATACGCTTGCGAAGCATTTTCTCAATTACTGTAATTTGCTGCGCGATGAGGAGGATATTTGTCTTGAGCAATTTACGGACGCTCCCATTTTTATCAACAGCCGTTCACTATCTCAGTCGGAATGCGATGTCAAATTTAACAGGAATCAGAAAAGACGATGGCCTGTTGAAGAAGAGTCTGCGTCTTGCTCTCTCTTGCATTTATCGTTAGCAGTTCGCATGACCTACATTATATGGGGTTCATATTCGCTTCCATCCGCGAGATTGGCAGGGCTGGTACTCTCTTCGACCTCCAGCGATGAGCTAAGGAGCATGGAGTTGTTCGGTGAGCGCGAGACTTTATCTGCGGACATGCAAGATGATGCATTTTTAGCCAGAGTCGAGCAGGAGTTTTTGGACGCTGTATACCGAGTTAAAACCGGGGTGATGCGGCACAACGCCTTGCGTCGGTTGGCTGTGGAGTTGAAACAAAAAATGGACGGAACAGAAGCAAACTTTGCACCGTTGGTTTTGACTGAGCTCTACAAAAAAACGTTGTCGTCCGCAGACATCCTTGGAACCAGTCTCAATATTCGCCGCCTGTATGCCCCCTGGGATGACGAACGATCATCGATACCACAGACACGGGGAAGCACAGCCCGCGGTAGAGGGCGATCTAGGGCCTCACGACGAACAACGTCAACAATTTTGACCTCTGATTCAATGTACAAGAAACACGTGGCTGAAGTTTATATACCGGAAGTGGCATCTCTAGCCCGATTTTTGCGTATTGGTCATGTGAATAAAGGAAGGCATGAAAAAAAGAAAAAGGTGAAGCAAACCAAAGGATTTCAGGAACCACAACCGATACTTTTGGCTATGTGTGCGTCGTATGAGACCACATATATAAAATATCAAAAACATCTTGTGAAACTGTTAGTGGAGGCGGCAAAGATGCCAGAAGCTCACTGTACAGATTCAATTGAGGACGCGGAGACGGAAATCCAACTAGAGGTTAACGGTGAGGTGGGAAGGACGTTATCTAACTTTGCACCCGTTGGGATTTTTTCCCGTTCTATCGACAGCAGCGTCCTTGATCCTGCTCAAGGTGTGGGGGAAGAGAGAGACAACCTTGTTGGTCTACCCAATGTGTTTGGGGAGTCGGGGGATACACATGTGAAGAAACAGGCAATGCCACAGGAGAGAAAATATGTGGTTGACGGGCTTGTTTCGGTGCGTCAAGTGCATGCTGGATGTGCAGCATTGAGTCTGATGTAGAAAAGTAATGTAAAACAACGACAACAAAACGCTATCAATAAAGGATGCTTTCGCAATTGCTGGACTTCTTTGTTGTTATTGTTTTTTTTTTTTTAGGTGATTGTGTATGTAAATGGGTGATGCTTAAGTATATCTATATTTGCGTATACGTTTGTATTGGTGTGTTTCTCTGTAAATGTATGCGTTCTTAGCTAATGGTTCTTATTCACGTATTTCCCACTGTGCGTGTTTTTGTTTTTCTTTTGTTTATTAGCCTCTTGACAAGTTTATGAGAGCCTTCTGCACTCAATAGCAGTTTTTAATTTTAGTACTATGTAATCTGCATATTTGTTTCTGTTTTGCGGTGTTACCGCAAAGCTTTGCCGAAACTGATTGGAGCGTGCTGGTCCTTTCATGGAGTGGTTGAGGTCATGCTTCGTGTAGTTGTTGTTATCGCTTTTCCCATCCATTTATGTCGCTAGTTTCTTAGTTCCCCTTATTGCGTGCATGTGTGCGTGTGTGTCACCTCCCTCCCTTTTTTTTTTTATTTGGCCTACTTGCATGCGAACACATATGTATTGGTATGTCGTAGGAAAAGGATAAAATAAGGAAAAAAAACAAAAAGGGGAAGTGAATAGCAGGTTGTTGGTAATGACACAGACTGCCGACGAGAATGCAGTTGTGGATCCTCGCATGATCATGAACCTGGAGTTGGATGAAAAGAACGAGGGCTGGATCGCATGGATACGACGCCTTTCTGCAGAACGGAATAGATTTTGGCTAATGTTTGGACTTTGTATGAAGCTTTCACTCATTTCCGCAAAGACACATAAAGTATCCTACTGCATAAGTTTTTTCTCTGTCTTTTTGGTGGTGTTTTTGTGTGTTATTCTCGTGTCGACAATGTTTAATCTTCCCATTATTTTCCTCCGTCTTGGTGAGGCATACAATGGACAGAATGATCTTGTACTATTGCCTGGTGGAGAGCTAAGTTCGTGGGCGTCGTTAAACTATTCCATCATTGAGCAGCTTTTTCCGCCAACGGATGCTGCACGCAGCTACCACTCTCCTCGAATCACGTTGACGGGATCTATTGTGAATTTTGCCAACTGCTCAGGGGTAAAAGATCCGAAGGATTTATGGTACTCAAGCAGCGGAAGATTATGTGCTAGGGGCTGTTTGGGTCAACATTGCCATGGCGATGACCTCTCTGTTCGTGTTGTGGCGATTAACTCGGAACGCGAAAAAAGAATGGGCTTTGGAACTTCATGGAGAGGTCCATCACTGGCAAAGGGGGAGGTGATTTTGTCCAAAGTTGTGGCTTCTGCCTTGAGTGACACACAGGTGGGGGATACAGTTGTGATTAGTGCAGCATTTGGTACTCACCTTCGGGCGCTTCTTGAAGATATTCCTTATGTGCGTCTTCATGCGCATGCGATTATGTCTTTTAGAGTGGTGGATATTATCCCTCCAGATCGTTCCAAGTTTGATGTGGAGGATTTTGTTGTTGTTGACTACGACTCAATAGCTAGCACCATTGCTGAAGGACTACATGGAGGGGTGAATGGAGAGGATGTGGTAAGGTTTGCAAAACGTGATCCAAAGTTCGCTGCCTCTTCCATCCACTTTAACTTGGACCCAAGAGTGCGTACGCACACGTACAGGACGACGGATTATTCAGTTATACGACGACGCGTCTTTACTTGGGTTGCTTCTATTGCTGAACCAATTGGTTACAACCAAATAGCAGTGGATACTCCTATAGTAAAGTTTTTGTACGGTGTCCGATTTTTTTCACTATTTGTGGGATTGATTGTGTCCATCATAATGGTGTCACTGACTTTTCTCAGTGTTATGCTTATATACTCATTGCTTAATTTATTGGTAGAATGTCGGCTGTATGAGTTGGGGATTAAGCGGATGATTGGATTTTCAAGTGCGAATCTGGTGTTTATGCTCCTCACAAACGCGTACTCCTTTACAATACCTGCATGGCTACTTGGACTTCTTACAGGACAGTTGATATTTCTGGGGATGCGCACATTGATTTATGATGTTATTGGCGTTGAATTGCCTCGTTTTATTTCAGGACAGGCGGTCGGTTGGGCGACGTTTGCCGGACTATTGCTTCCGCTTGTTGGAGCTATTTTTCCTGTGGTCACAATTCTCTCACAAAAACTTCCGGATGCTTTGAATGCTACTCGCGGACGTAACATGGGCGTTGTGTACAAAATTGTACGTGAAGGTGACACAAGAGGACTAAATTATATTATGTTGTGTATCGGGTTGGCCTTTTTTGTTTTTGGGTTTTTACTATACTACTTTTTTCCTGTTGCCTTGCTGCGCATGCGATTGGATTGGCTCTTTGTCATCTTCTTTGGTATCCTGATTGGGATGCTGGCAGGTCTGGTGTTGCTGGCGGTGAACTTTGAACGGGTTCTGCAAACGGCGGTGTCGTACTTTTTTTCTTTTGGGAACACGCTGCTGTGTTTCAGGCCCTTCAAAAGTTGTTGACGGCTCATCGAAAACGGAACCGTAAAACCACATTGATGTATGCATTTTCGCTTGGTTTTGTTATATTCATCAGTATTGCGTTTCAGGTTCAACTGAGGTCGTTCCAGTACGGAATACGACGATCGATGGGGGCTGAGGTGGTGATTGAGTTTGAGGGGGTGAACCTGTTTAAGTTTTCCGAAATGGCGCGTTACATACAAATATATGTCCCGCAAGTCTCGGGGATAGCATTTCTTTCCCATGCTATTTCGCCCAAATTGCACGTAAAAAATGTGACCTTAGTTTCCCCTGGGCGATATCAAGAGGTTTTCATGGGTGAGTTTCGTGCGATCTCACCCAATTACTTTGAGGTTCTTGATAAAAACTTTCTTCGGGTAAAGAAGTACAATCGAGAAAGTCGAAAATATTCTCTTTCAGGTGCTCTGTACACAGTGGACAGAAATAAGATTATTGTTTCTACTTCTGTGTATTCATGCCTGCAGTCGAAGTCGTTTGCGGATGGGATTTTGCTTGTGATTGGCTTAATAACGGATGGTATTAAACAAACCGTGGAGAATGTGCGCTATGCTTTAAAACCGTCTGCGGTGCTGGACGCCGCTCCTCAAGTCACCATGTCAAAGTATCGTGGCATTACTGGCACACTATTGACATCATTTCCTTCTTTAGCTCGTTTGAGTGCAACGGATTACCTCAGTGTTCGCAGCTTAATGTTGTCCACAGTGAGTCTACGTGTTTCAAGTAAAGTTGATGTGGAGTTTGTATCTCAAATGATGTCGAAGTATCTTCGGCGTAGTCGAATCACCGAGTTTCATATTCGTGAAGATGGAACAACAGTGCAGTATTTGGGTATTGCGGAGCGTATTATTGGCTTTTTTTTTACATTTACACAAGTTATCACCATGGGAATCTGTTTTTTTTCCTTACTTGCAAGCATAACAGCAAATGTATCAGAATCAGTCAAGGAAATCGGAATTTATCTCTGCATTGGTATGACTAAGTTTCAGATCCACAGAATTTTTGTCTGGGAGGCGTTTGTTATCATCATTGCTTCCGCTGCTTTGGGCCTGGTGGTGGGTCTTATAGTGGGATATAGCATGCAGCTTCAGAACGAGCTCTTTTCCCAACTGGATGTCGGTTTTGCATTTCCCTATCCACAGGTTGTGGTTATTAGCGTGATGGCTGTTGGAGCAGCTATGCTGTCTAGTTTTCCCCCGGTGGCAGCCGTCCTCCGCCTTCCATCCATTACCCACATCTTGCGTCGAACGACCTGATGGACCCATCGCTGCGCATGGGTGTGTCACGACCCCTCTCTTTCACTTTATCTCTTATCTTTTTTTTTTTTTTGGGGGGGGGGAGGGTTGCGTGTGTTTCCTTGGCAGGGTTGACTACCGTTTTTTTTTTTATTATTATTATCCTTTCTTTTTTTTTTTTGTCGTACGTGCGTGTTTCAGTTTAAGTAAATAGAGTAGCGAATGAAATGGACTGCTGGAACGACGTGAAAAAAAAAAACAAACAAACAAAAGGAAAAGGAAAAGGAAAAAGTAAAAAAAGTAAAAAAAAGCAAGCCAAATAGAGTATGACGTGGAGGAACAGTTTTGTTGGATGATGGATGTGGCGTGCTTGCTCTGATGACGAATTGCCAACACAATATTTATCCCTGCAAACAATTTTTTTTTTGTTTCCCTCTTCTATTATTCTGTTTTTTTTTTGTTGCGTGTGTGTTGTGTTATCTCTAGTGGTTATTTCTGTGTTTGCCTTCATTTGTTTCCTCCTGCTGACTGCGTGTTGACTATTTGACTTGGTGGTAGTGCGGGGGAGTGATGCACGCCGTGGTGCATCACGGCGACCAGTTCTTGGAGGTTCCAGACGCATCCGTTACACTGAGAGATATTTGTGACTCATTTGGACTGACTGGCGACCTCGCAGGCGTCTGCATCAAGCATCGTGGGACCGGGCGTGTCGTGGCGACGCTGCCATTTGAGAGCCTCCCCGCTGTTAACGACGCACAAGGCGAAGAAGACAACGTATACGACCTCTGCATCCCCACCGACGATGGCATTGGGGGCTCAACCCCTACGACGGATGACATGACGGCTGTCTTGAGACATCTAGTGCAGCTGGGGGCTGCATCTCTTCTGTCAACCGAATCAGAATTGCATCGTTCACTTGATCCGTACGATCCTCATATGTCGCCGGGGTTGTTGATACGAACGATATATCCACCTTCGCTCTACTCGCCGTACCGACACCGCGGGGATCCACTCAGTATGCAAGGAAAATTTGCTGCTGCGTTCATTACGGGGCAGATAGCGGGACCGCCGTATACTAGTGCCGTGGAGCCGTACACTGTGGAAGAGGCGACCGAGGCGACGCTGCAGTCACGGCCTGATCTCGTCCCGCAGAGCGAGGAGGAGGTGCACGATATTCTGCAAGGGTTAGTAGCAGCGGCTACACAAGTAAAGGCTCGGATGACAATGGCAGATGCAGAGGAGAAACGGCATGCACCATTGGATGTAAAGCCGAATGTGACGCTTCTGCAAACACATGGGATGAATTCCTGAACGCGTGTTGTTGACTGCAGTTGCTGTGGTGAGGGGTAAACAAAAAAAAATAAAAGAATGATCAGTTGACGAAAGACTTTAATGGTATTGGTTGCCTTGTGACTTGTAAAGTTACTTTCTCTGTCTCTCTCTTTTACTCTTGTTTTTGCTGCTTTAACCCGTTTTGAGTCTTATCTACGAACACCTTTTTTTTTTTCTTGCCCCCCGTTATGATTACTTTACTCTTCATTAGTGAAGCGGAGCATTCCGTTTTGTCTTGTCTGTAGCGCTGAAGGCTTCTCCTTGTACTTACAAACTTTGTTTTATACATAACTATTATTATTTATTATTATTATTATTTGTTTTCTCTGTGACAGTGGTCTCAGTGCGCATTTCTCTGGCACCCTCAGATCTGGTTCTACTCGTTCCTTCTGCTTCCGTTTGTGTACGTCGGAACTTGTTAGGACGGAAGGAGATGCATCGTTCCAGACGGATTCGCCGTGGGCTGCACCGTGGCGGAGGCTGCTGGTGCTCGTGCGCTTCGTTGATGCTCGTTTTGCTCTTTTTTGTCTTCAGCACATTTTTTGTGCGGGAAGAGCGTGCCGTGAGCGGCATGAGGGGTAAACGTCCCCGGCCAGCAGCAGAATTTTCAACGACAGCATCGCGTATCTCTCTGTTTGGCTCTGGAAAACCAACACGAGATGACGTCATATCGTCAAAGGATGTTAATAACGCAACAAGATCTTTGAGAAGCACTCTTGAGAGCTTGTCGCTGCTGCATGTGCACTTCACTGGTCGTAAGAGGGCGTGGACACTCAAGGACCTTATTGAAAAGGTGGGTTACAGTAATGATAACAGCAGCGACATCACTTCAACTATTTGCCCCCCTTTATCGAATAATCTGTCAATTCCCATGGATGAAGCGTTTCAGATCGGGATGCTCCGAGAATTTGTGGGAGGTATGTATCATCCGATGTATTGCAAGGAATGGCGAAGGCGCACGCATAGCGGTTCTGAACATGAACGCGGTGAAGCGGATAACGTCCGCGAAGAGGATGTAGAGTTAGCTTGTGATACAGGCATACAAAAAAGGTTGGTTGACGCAATACAGCATCCGCCAAAGTACGCTTACGTCATTATGGTTTCAACGCACCGCTATTTAGATGGGGCAATGGTATTAGCAGAGTCCATCCGCGAATATTCCCCTCTTAGTCGTAGCCATGGTGCCGATATTGTGTTGATAATTAATGAACACATCAAGTCTGAAATGTTTCCACTACTTCAGGTTCTATTTGATCGTGTGCAAATTTTTAGTGGTCTTCAAAAATGGGCACCAAAGAGTGCTTTCAAGGCGACATTTGACAAACTGTACCTTTACATGCTGGAAGATTATAAAGAAGGAATTCTTTTTCTAGACGCCGACTCTCTCATCACAGCTAATCCAGACTATCTGCTACAAATGCATGAAAGAATCGCCACAGTTGTGAACTCTAACGACACCAGCTATTGGACTCCAGCCCGCCGTGCGGTACTCTCCTATCCCTTAACGGAACACGAGTGGCAGAGATTAATGCATGCCAAGAAAATGCCTTTACTGTTTGCTGTTGGTTACAATAAGTATTTTCAGACAAGTCTCTTGACTTTTAGGCCGTCTATGAAGATATTTCTTAAACTATATCTGGAATTTCGCTTTGGAAGTTACGGGTACAATAGTTTACAGGGGCGTGATGGCGTTCTCTTTCGTAACTGCTTTGCCACCATCGGTGAATGGAAGCGGCGTCCTCACGAGGTGTACCATTTTAATGGAAATCCCAAACCGTGGTTTAACCAGGAACGCCTGGACCACATGCTGCAGCCCATGAAAGTCTTGATGCGAACAGAACAATTGCTCTCATGGCAAGATTATATATATTATTATGAGTGGTGGACGCGGTATGAACGACTTCACATAAAATATTTTCGGCTAATTGAGATGGAAACACGCACACGTTTTGGTTCCACACAGATTGCGGAACTGAGGAAGTTGAAGACTCAATATGGTGACAGCTTAACACGTATTTCGCCCGATGTACACATCACGAAGTACGGTGGGGCGATGTTGTTGCGAAGACCAACGTCGGAGGTGCCACTTCCGCTGGGTATGCACTCTGTAGAAGAGGCTGCTCAGGCGTCTCCAAGCTCGTTCATGTGGCTTATGCGGTTTAATAGGGCTGTAGAATATCTTCACCCCACACGAGCGCACATGGCGCAGTTAAGGAGAGCTACCGTCCCTCTTGCCTCTACAAAGGAGCTGAGCTTGTTGCTGTCTGTTTTTAACACTTCATCTGTCAAGACGTGGGAGCACAAAGACATTGTGTACGCATTTGCGGCCTCTTCACAGGATGAGGCAGATAATACTAACGATGCTTCTTGGTCCAGCTGTGAAACGCAATGTGCCAGGTTACGTTTGCGGTGTAATGCCTCGCTGTTGATTGATACGCGAATTGCAGATTGTCAGTATAGTCAACCGCCACTTTTCATGGCAAATGGTATCATTCGTTGCAAGCATTGCAAGCCTTATTTTAAAAGTGGTGCTCCCTTTGTGGTCTTTCAGAAACATGAGAAAAATGGGCTATGGGTGCAAGAAGCCTCGGTATGTTTCTTTAGTGCATGGACACGCTTTGCAGCACCGCTTTGCAACGCGACAAGGCCAACACTTCATCAGTACAACTTGAAAAAAGGGGAGTTTTTGGCTCCTGTCTGTCCATGTCAGTAGCAGTGTTTTTTTTTTTTTGTAGTGAGTGAGTGTGTATGTGTGTTTGTTTTTGTCTTTTTGCAAGATGGTGTATGTAGCAGGAAACATCGCAGTATCGCTGTTCTGCTACATACACACGTACTTTGTAGTGCTTGACAAGAGCACTGAGATCAGCGAGTAATGGAGGGGAAGCTGGTGAAAGATAAAGATAAAGAGAGAGAGAGAGAGAGGATCGGATAAAGGCATTCTGGTTAAATATTTATATTTTTTGCTTTCTCCTTGGAAAAGGCCTTTTAAGTCGGCTTTCTTATTTTTGTTGTGTGTTGTTCCTTTGTTTGCAGTTTGTCTCTATTCTATTAATTATTGAATTTGCTGTCGTTGGTTTGCCTCTGCTGGTTTTGTATAGGTTGGCTGTGAATTTATTCATCTCTTCATTTGTTTTACACAACGAGGGAAAGGTGTACTTGTGTGCGTGTGGGAAGATATGTTGGCCGGGGTCGGCACCTGGGAGTCCGTCGTGGACTCGGTGGAGGGGCAGGGTCAACAGCAGAAGAAAAAGCGCGGCGGTGGCTTTCAGAGCTTCGGACTGGACAAACCGCTGCTAGACAGCGTGCTGCGTCTTGGCTACAATGTGCCAACGCCCATCCAGCGTAAGGCCATTCCACCAATGATTCAGGGGAACGACTTGGTGGCCATGGCACGCACAGGATCCGGCAAGACGGCGGCGTTTCTTATTCCCATGTTAACCCTTCTAAAGTCACACAGCAAGACTGTGGGAATTCGTGGACTTATTCTCTCTCCAACGCGCGAATTAAGTTTGCAGATTTTACGCTTTGGTATCCAGCTGAACAAGTTTATGGATCTCCGTTTTGCAGCTTTAGTCGGTGGTAACTCACTCGAGCAACAGTTCGAGTTGCTGGGGTCGAATCCTGACATTGTGGTCGCCACGCCTGGTCGCCTTCTTCACATTCTTGAAGAGGCTTCCGTGAAGTTGACGATGGTGAAGTGTTTGGTGTTAGATGAGGCTGACCGTCTGTTTGAGCTAGGGCTGCAGTCACAGATTGTTGCCATTATGCAGAGGGTACCAGACACGTGTCAGCGGGCACTTTTTTCAGCCACAATGCCAAGTGTTTTGGCGGAATTCACTAGTGCAGGACTTCACAACCCTGTAGTCATTCGCCTGGATGCGGAAATGAAGTTAAGTGATCAACTAAAACAAAGTGCCTTTCTGGTCCGTAATGATGAGAAGGTTGCCGCGCTTATTTTGCTTCTTAAGAAGGTGATTGGTGTGGCAGCTGACAAGAATAGTGACGGCAAAGTTCAACAAGCTCTTGTTTTTGTTGAGTCCAAGTTTCATGTGGATTACTTGCAGATGATTATGGAGGCATATCATATCTCTTGCAGTGCTGTGCATGGACAGATGGACCAGGAGGCGCGGCGTCTTGCAGTACAGGCGTTTTCAAAGAGGGAAACGCATGTTATGATTGTAACTGACGTTGCTGCGCGTGGGCTTGATCTTCCGTTGCTTGACAATGTCGTGAACTTCTCCTTTACACCCACACCAAAGTTATTTGTGCACCGTGTTGGTCGTGTGGCGCGCGCTGGCCGTTCCGGTGCGGCCTATTCCCTCCTCACCTTTGAAGACTTTCCATACTACGTCGACCTCATGGCATTTCTTGATCGTCCATTGCAGTGTCGGCGAACTGAAGGCGACTTGCTTTTTACCGCAGATGATGGCTGCTTCGGTCGTATGCCAGAAGAGGACCTGCAGCTGGAGCTCGACTTTCTGCGGCGCCTCACTTTGACGGATGTGGAGATAAAGAACATGGCGAAAGTCGTCGACAATGCACACAAGAAGTTTACACGCACGAAAAAGAAGGCGACGCATGACGGCATTCAAGAGGCCAGGCAGGAGAAGTATCAATTCGATAACACACCGTTACACCCCCTTTTTGTAGAGCGGCTGGAGGCGAAGCGCATCGCCGCTGATGAGGCCCGGTTTAATCTCAAGCGTTTTAAGGCGAGGGAGTCTGTCCTGGAAATGATTCACGGCGAAAAGATGTTTCAAATTCAGAAGCCTGTGACAATTCAGACCCTGTGGAAGGAGCAGCAGGGGCGCACGGAGGCAAATGAAGAAGAAGCTCTCAAAGCAGAAGAAGAAGGGAGTTCACCGATGGGTAGCAGTGCAACATTGGCTTCAAGAGATGCAAAAGGGCCGGAGAAGAAGTTATCATTGGCAGAAAAACTTCTTTTAAAAGCACAAGAACGGAAAAAACGGGGACGAGAGCAAATGGAGGATATTACTCACGAAGACGAGGGTGTTACGGTGTGTCCCACGCGGAGTATGCATCGCCTTGGAGCAGACGATGGCATTGGTGGTGGCAACTACCGCGACCAGGACTATTTTATGGAAACCACAAAACGCAGCACGATGGAGGACGCGCACTACTCTGTGAAGGATGCAACGTTTGACATGGGTGCAGAGAGTGCGCAGGATGCGCGGCAACAGCGTCAAGTGTACGCATGGAGCAAGAAGAAGAATCGTTTTGTTCAAATGAATGTCAATGACGCAAAGGCTATGTTGCGCGGTGTAAAGAATGAATCAGGAAAGGCAGTGAACTTTAAATCTAAGCTTGAGGCCTACTCACGATGGATGAAGAAGAGCAATATGCGTATTCAAGACGTTGGGGAGGAAGAGGATCTTGGACCTTTTAATCGTGCCCGAGCCGCCCAAGAGCAAGGCAATAAGGGCCACAACCAGGGTGGTGACGAGGATGATGACACAGTGGACATCAGTGACCCAAATCAAGGTAAGAAACTACGAGTTGGCCGAAAGCAACGTCGTTTGCCAAAGGACGGGCATGTTCGCACATTTGAGGAGATGGCGCTCATCAAGCGCAGGGCAGAAAAGGAGAGGGCACGTTTGTCAAAAAAAAATCAAAAGAGAAAGAACAAATAGGTCCTATAAATGCGAAACTACAGGAACCAAAACAGACATACAAAACAACACTCCAAAAGAAAAAAAAAACAGGACAACGAATGAGAATTCTTCACTTTTTTTTTTTTTGGTGTCTTTGCTTTTTCTGTTCTTCTTGTATTTCTGTGAGGTATAAACACCCTTGGAACCTCTGGAAGTACGATTAAAGCACAAGAGCGGGACACACTGGATGGTGCCTGGCGAGCCGACAGATGTGCATCAGCGGTGATATGTAATGTGTGCGTATGTGTATGCTTAAACCATGACAGTCATGGTGGAGGCAGTATGGAGTGGTTGGGTGGGTGTCAATGGATCGATTAATCGGGAACTGGAGAAGAGACAGCGAATATCAAGCATGAAACACTTGAAGTGGGAAGTAGGAAGAGGTGACCCGCAACAATAGTAATCAGGAAGATGGGAAAATAAAAGAGTGAAGTGTTATTTAGCGCATTGTTGGGTGTTGTGTACTCCATGCGTGGCCCACACTTACTTGGTTTCGTTTTTTCTCTCTTTAAATGAATTTAAGACGCAGACTATCAAAGTCAATTGATGATGATAACTGTACGGAGAGAAAGGGGTAGTTCTTTACAAGACGAATAATATATATATATATTTGTCTCTGATCCCAAATATGTTTTTTTTTCTTTTTTCTCCTCTTTTATTTTGATTTGGCTTACTTGTGTGACTCCCCCGTTTTTGTATCTTTGTTTGTTTGTCTTTGTATTCCTGTTGGTTTTCGAAGGACGGGGTGAGACGATACATCTTTGTCTGCGAGGATGCATGGAGTCACGTACCCTCAGGTAGCGGGGCAACGGCGGCGACCGATGGAAAAAGGCACTGTGCAACTTCCACCACTTGATACACCGAGGCAAACCTTCACGCAGGGGAATAAGAAAAAACGAATGTTGGAAGTGGAAAAATCATCTGCTGTGAAAGGGAGAAGCATTAGCACCGCCAGTACAACCAAGAGGAGCATCAATAGACCTGGCAAAGAAGCTGCGGTTCCTGTAGATACAGTGATGGAGATGAACAAGAAATCCATAGCGCTCATGAAAGATGGGAAGATGAAGGCAAGTTATGACATGCTACAAACGGCTCTGGCTGCTGCTGAAGCTGGCGTGCGTCGTTTTCCGACTGTTTCAAAGGAGTCCAATTCAGAAGCCCAGGAACAGCGTGAGGCGTGGCTTCTTGCATTTGCAGCCACGCTAAGCAACTTGGGATGTTTACAGCGCCGGGATAATCAATTGTACGAGGCCATTCGTTACCTCCAGGACGCACGCAATGTGGAATCGCAGGTCTTTGGAAGGCCCTCCTGTTCCACCATGGTGAATCTGTCCGCTGTACTTCTTGAATTGGGATCAACTGAGGAGGCGCTTGTTATTTCCCGTGATTGTGTCTTGGCCTCAGAGCAGAGTGATCCAATGCTTCATACTATTGCGCTACACAACTATGGTGTGACATTGAGTCAGCATGCTTCAGAAGAAATGCGGCAGTCGGCGGTACCTGTGCTTATGAAAGCGTTGCGGCAAGCCCAATTACATTTAGGCGAGGAGCACCCCACAACGATGCTTATTCGTCAGCACTGTGGCATGACACTTCAGAAACCACAAGAGCAGGGCGAGAAGTGCCAACTTGGTAGCACAGCTTTTGTCACACAGGGTCATCGAGAAGAAACCAAACAACCGTTAGCTGCAGATGAGCGGCTGCCGCCGCTTGTTCCAGCATCTAAATATCTCCAGCAAGCAAAGGAGGCTGTGGAGTCATTGAATTACGGTGATATACCATTATTTGGGGAAAGCCATGCCTCCTCTTATACGGAGAGTAAACAAGAATCAAAATCTACTCAGCGATCATCCAAACCAGAGACGGATTTAAAATATCAATCCGTTACGAGTTATGGACGGGGAAAAGAGGAATTGTCGGAGGACTTGTCTAAACGCAGATCCTCGCCGAATGAACCCGTAGTGGTTTTTTTCGAGAGTGCCGCTGAGGAAACGTTGGCAAGACAATACTCTTCTATGGTGACCGTATTAACTGCTTCCTGTTCATGCTCAGCAGAAGAGTCAGTGGAAGAAGAAAAAGAAGAGAGAGAAAAGAGGACGAAATGCGACTCGGACATTGATGATGATGACGATGGTAAGAAACGCATGAGTCTCAAGGTGGTAACACCAACTCTGAGGGAAGGTAAAAAGGAGTCTGATGTTGTTTATGATCCGCTGGAACACTCGGAAGAGAGCAGAAAAGGTAGTGGGGCCAATAGTGACGCTCATGGTGGCGCCGGCGAGGGCGCTGAACCTTCAAAGGGTGAAGAGGAAGGGAAATGTCACCAGACAGCGATGGAGCCGCCCAAACTTGATATGACTCAACGACCTGCGACGTTTACAAATACTGGGTTTTTTTTTGTCATTGGGGCTCAAGCAAAGCAACCAGAGTTGCCATTTTATCGTTTTGCGCCATTGGAGGCTTCGTTACTGGCCAAAGAGTCCAGTGGTGAGCAGAATGCGGCGGCAACGGAGGCTTCCACACCAAAACTCGAGAAGCAAAAGTTGCTTAAACCTGTTGAAGAAGAAGAAGAAGAAGAAGAGGAGGAATATGAAGAGCAAGAGATGTGTGGTTTTGAGCACAAGGAAATTCAGGGAAGGGAAAAGCACTGCTTACCGACGCCTGTAAAGGCTATTGCGAAAAAGAGAGAAGCTTTTGTGAAGCTAATTGGTGTTAACCCAGCTATACGTCGTGAGGAGAACATTCGACAAGAACGGCTGGAAGAGGAATTGCTTCGCTCTCGCCTTCGCAAGGAAGCTGAGGAGAAGGCCCAAAAGGAACACTTTGAGCGCACCTTAGCGGCGATCGTATCTCGCACAAGGGACAGAGCTGTGAGGAAGATTCAATACATGTGGTGTATGTGGTGGAATTCTGTGGGGAAACGGCGACGCGAACTGCTTATTAAACGTACAGAGGAGAAGGCGCGGAGGGAGCGTTTGCGTCAGGCTCTCCTTGAACATGAGCAGCAAGTAGAAGAGCAACGACGGCAGAAAAGGATGAGCAAAAAGAAGAGCGGGATTGAAGCTATTCCGTCTGTATTTTGTTGTGGTAAGAAGTGGTTGTTGAGGACACTATGTGTGCGGTATTTGGCACGGCGCGGTATCCCTCGTGATGATAAAAAGGAGGCCTTCTTTGTGTTGCAGTTGTCCAAAATCCAGGCCGTTTGGAGGGGACACTACGTTCGTCTGCAAATGCGAGATAAAAGCGTTGCTCGAGCCCAGAAACGAATGTGTAATGAGCAATTGGAACGTGAGGTGTACGCTGCAATGGTCATTCAGATGTGTGTTCGTCAGTGCCTTGCCCGCAAGGCACGGGAGAAGAATATAATTGAGCACTATGGTCCGCCTGCGATAAAAATCCAGCGATGGTTTCGCGCTGTTATGCCTCGCCGGCGTGGGCTTGGTGTGGATAAGGTATCAAAGTGGCGAAAGCAGTATTCTGCTAGATTGATTCAGCGTGCCTGGAGAGGGTATCTTTGTCGTCTGGCGTACTTTATGGAAAAACTGCGTTATAAGTTAGATGAGGATAAAAGACATAAGCGTGTTGCATCTTCCGTGTTACAACGTGTTGGCCGTGGATTTATATGTAGGTCTTTGATATCGAGACAGTGGCTGAAAAGAACCTGTCTTCGCACAACGGTGCATCTCCTTGAGTGGGGAGACGGTGAACTGGATAGAAAGAGGAATGTCATCCCCACTTCCCCCCCACCGACTGTGACGTATGTTCCTACGCCGGTTGAGGAGGTGAATGCCATAGCACAAATGGAGCGCGAGAAGTATCATATTGGACTTTTTGTCGATGTCGTTGCTAAGCGTCATTGCACTGAATGGAAAGAGGCCCTGCGTCTGCGTCCCTTTGAGGTGCTTCGACGTCGCGCACATGAAAATCATCTTTGTGAACTTGAACTGAACGCCTTCAGGCGGGAGCACGCGGCTGTAAAGATACAACGGGAGTTTCGTCAGTGGCTGCATATCCGTGACTCGCCCTTTCGCGACAAGACCTTGTTACTCATTGCTCGCGGTGACTATCAGGTTTTGGAATACGGCCGAAAAATTGATCGCATACGACACACGCGTGAGCAAGAGGCAGGACAGGAGATCTTTGGTGACCAAGTTGCACCCATGCGCAAAGCTAGAGCTGCAGCTCAGGCAGAATTGCGAGAAGTTCATCCATTGGTGAGGACTCATGTCCCACAAGACAAGGTGCGAAGCCTAGTGGAGCGTCGAGAGGTTGAAAATGAGTTACAACGAGATGAGCACTTGATAAAACAACAATTACATGCAGAAGCTCTTCTTCAACGACGAGAGTCCCATCTGCGTCGAGCAATAGAGGCGGGGATCATAAGTTCACAGGATGGTTTCATACAAAAAAAGTTAGTACAGTAAGTGCACACGTTAATGTCTCCGTCATGAAAAGCTTTGGGAGCTCTGCCGTGATTAGAGGTGGGGCGATGTTGTTCGCAGAAAGGGGGAGGAGACGGTTACAAGGGGAATAAAAAGCAAAACAGAATTCCATGTGATGGTACATCATCTTCAGTGGTAGGGCATTGCAACCGTTTTGCTATTGCTTTGCTCGTTTTGTTGGAGATGACAACTTGCTCTTCAACAGCGAAAGGCGTGGATGAATGCATGTGTGGTAGTTGACTCTATGAGGCGTGAAGGGCTGTATGGAAGTGCAGAAGGATTTAGGCGAAGTAAACAAAGACAAGACAAAAAGTTGGAGACATGCAAGGGGGTCTTTGGGAGGAAGCTACCCTGCGGCAATGTAAAGAATAGAATACCATGTGATGTAACTGAAGGCGTTTTCAGATGTTTTTTTTTGTGAATTTGTTTTTCCCATCCCTCCCTGTGGTTGGCAGATTTATTTATACTTTTTTTTTTTAATCTGCTCTATCATTTTATTTCGGTGGAGTGTGGGCGGGGGTGGGAGAAAGGCGTTGGTGTAGGCCAATATTGGAGGAGATGCAGACACGCGTCAGTGTGTCCTCTTCGACAGGATGACGCTAATTGCCCACAAGGCAGCGGAAAGTTTGCTTACCCTTTCTGCTTTGGGTGTTTGGCTGCCTCTTGCTTGGAGCCGTTTTTGTTGTTGTTATGTTCCTCTCTGCGATGTCAAGATTGCACGCTTGTGACACGGAGGAGGTGGCTACAGAGCCCTCACAAGGGGTCCAAATGCCAGAGGCTGGGCGAGGAAAAAGAAGGGGGAAGAAACAAATCAAACACACCGACAGTGACGAACACACGGTGAGTGACTTCAGTGTTACTTTTTTTAATTTTACTCTCTCTCTCCCTCTCTTTTGAGAGTGACGTTGCAAACACTTCTATTAACTGAAAATTTCTCTGTATTTGTTATGTTGTGTTGTTCTAGATTGAAATGATTCAAGATGCGGAGTTCTGGATGGAGGCGCGGCGCAAGCACAACGGGGGGGATGCCATATTCACCGCCATGTTCCCGCTGCTGCACGCACGGCAAGTGGCCCTTGACTCCGGTGCGGAGGTAGATGAAGATGAAATTTGCCGTGACATTTCTATCGCTTCTCCGTTTGCCCACAAACCAACTAGGAATGCGTCATTTGAAGAGGATGAAGGTGTGCACCCTGGATACTCTAACGGTCGCGGCAAAACGGTTTCTACAAGTGTAATACGGGTCATGCAACAAATTTTGATGTTTGCAGTTCCACTTTATTCACTGCGGTATAACATTCCCGCCATGTCAATGTCATTACGAACTAGCTGTGTTGTGGATAGAGCATCGAAAAACATCAAAACATTTGGGACCGGTGAGGGGGTGAAGGTGCCGAAACACCTAAAATGCCGAGGTTGTGTTGCCACAGACGACTTTTTTGCCATCTTAACGGATGAAGATGAAGTATGGGTGTCAGGTGGCATGAATGTGTTGGTGGTTGACAACGGAAAGTGCAAGTCAGGAACGCTTGGAAAGAAGGACTGTATGTTCAAGGTTGTGGAAAGTGCCCTCATGGTGGCAGGACATGGATCACGTCTTGCCTGCCTAACACGGGCATTCATTGTTCGACCGCTCTCCATTTTGTCAAGCAACGTGAAGTCGGTCATTCCATCTCGCCCTGTTCGATTTTTGGATTTGGGATATGTAGACGATTATTACATGGTTGGAACAGACTCTGTGCTCTATAAAACACTTGCGTCTAAGCGCGTTGTTGGAACTCCACGTCGTGTTATGACATTAGTTCGAACACCGGTCTCGCGTGTTGCATGTGGAAACGGATTTTGTCTAGTTATTGATCAAAACGGTCACTTGTACACGTTGGGACGGAATAAAAAAGGTCAATTAGGTAATGGGCAGCAGTACAATTCGCGTCGCAAACCGTACCTTCATAGAAATTTTTTTCATCACTTTTTTGTGATGGTTGCGGCGGGGGATGCACATTCGTTAGCCCTCACAAGTAGTGGAGTTGTTTACGCTGCAGGTAACAATGAAAGTGGTCAGCTTGGATTGGGGGAGACAATAACTGAGATGTTGCGTTTTACTCCAGTCCAATTGCCGAGCAAATGCGTAGGGATAGCAGCGGGACCAGCAGGTAGTATGTTTGCATGTGAAGATGGTCATGTGTATGCTTCTGGGCTGAATGTTCACCGGCAGCTTGGAGTGGATTCATCGCTTCACATTGTTTACACCCCCACTTCCATTCCAGAGATATCAAGCGGTGTGGAGGCGTACACCATGGACTTTGGCCCTGCTTACGTACCCAGCGTCATTACAAGGCTTGCAAGGGAGTCGCCTGGTATGCAGAATAATTCAGAGGCCACCTCAGATGCGAAGGAACTCATCCTGCCGGAACATCCATCTCTACTGCGAGCTGCTGTAATGACGGATTTACCGCGACTTGAGGCAGTTGGACGGGGCGAGGTTCCGAAAAAGAGGAAGAAGAAAGCGTCATGTATGAAGTGTTGTGTGACCGTGTAAGCTAGGATTGTGGCGTTGTTGGCCGTCTTTGTTTGCTTTCTATTGTGTTGTGTGTTTTGGATGTATCACCGTTTACTCTTACTTTTGCCGTTTTTTTTATACTTTTTTGGTGCTGTTGCTTCTTTTTTTTTTATGCCACAGCAACGAAGAAAGTTCGTTGGTCACACTGTGGTACATATCGTGTCAGCATAACCGTTACCGTCTTGGCGCACTGTACACCTCCATCCTTATTGTATTGCCGTCGCGACGTGGTGCCTCGCTCAATGTGGTGGGGTGAAGGGTGTTTGTTTTTCCCCTTTATCTTTGTACCTAAAACAAAACTCCAGTCAGCTTTCTGGCTTTATTCGCGGATGCCACTCCCAGGAGGACTTGGAAGCAAAATAAGAACAAAATGATCGTAACTTCTACTTTACCTTCTTTTCCGTCTTCGTCTCTTATTTTTTATTATTAAAAAATAAAAATAAAATGTGTGTGTTTTTTTTTCTGGAACTCATTTTAATCCGCACTCGCGCGGACTTATACGTGTTGTTGTTGTTTTTTTTTTTCTTTTTTGCTCACTCTCAGTGCAGGGGACGTGCAACGCAAAGTGGCCGGAACAAAAATAAAAATAAAAAATAGAAAAAATGTTTAGGGCGACAGGTGTCACAAGGTTACCCCCTCGTTTTCTCTTCAGGGGGCGTTGCAACACGGCCACCTACTACTCCAGCCGAGGCGGTGCCGAGGGTCATCCAGACATGGTGGCGGAATGCGTCGACGGTGGTCGCACAGACCCGGAATGGATGTGGGTGAAACTACTTTGCTTTTTTTGCGTGAGCTCGACGCTGGGTACTTCTTTGTGGCAGATTTATTTTTATGAGCAGGCGAAGGTTTTCAAGGATGAGCCGTGGTCACCGTTCAGGAACTGAGGGTTGACGTTGAGAAGGGAGGGGAAGGTTTGTGGGAAGAAAGTGCAATTACATGCACACTTTTTACTTGAACCAAACGAAAAAGAAACTGTAGGTCATGGGGACGGGAAATGAAATGGTGTTTTTATCGTTTCGTTTTGCTTCATCGGTGGTTTCGTGTGTGTGTGTGTGTGTGAAGGGAGGGGGTAGTTGATTGTATTGCTTCAACTGAGAGGTCTCTTCTGCCCCGTGAATATGTCTAAACTCTCCGCTGTTTCAACCTCTTCTTTTCTTTGCCCTTAATAAGGACACATGAGAAGGTGAAAGTAAGATTGAACAACAATGCATTGAAGGAAGCTTGCTCCTCCCCTTTTTTACCTTCAATTTCCCCCATATATTATTATTATTTTTGAATATGTATCTGTACCGGCACATGATGGCAATTAACTCTGAAATTTGTTCATATTCGGAACTGACTCAGTCGAGACATTTCATCCACTGAATGCCGCTTCCGCCTCACTGGTTCTTTCTCCCCTCACCAAGAAGTGCTGCTCACTGCTGCTTACCTACGGTGGGTATTTTGAAAATGGTAGCAAATCCAGCCCCCACTATCTTTCCCCATGACGACTTTAACAACAAGGGTGTCTCCCGTATGTTTTTTTCTCATGTGGGTTTTTGTGAATAGGACATGCTGGTGGTTTCCGTTAGTGTACATGTCTGGCTTTGCTTTCGAGGTGAAACAGTGGGCTATATTCTTTTCTTTATTTATTTTATTTTTTATTTTCTCTGACTCAGCTTTGTCCTCGTTGATTTTTCAGAAAAAAATACACGCCAAAAAAGAGGGAGAAAAAGGGAAGTTGCCAAAAACAAGTGCAAAGGGTAATTTTTGTTCTTTTTAAGATTTCTGATTTTGTTTCTTTTCTTTGGCAAGGCGTCACTATTGATACGAACAACACGCATACATTTCTGATAGATCGATACAGATCCTCTTTGTCGCTCACCGCTACCGTTGCAGCAATAAGCGCGTGCTTTGCTCTTCTCGTGTAGTGTCTTTTTGAATCGTGTGTGTGTGTGTGTGTGTGCTGTGGTGTTGGGCGTGTGTGCCATTTGAATTTGAGTGCGTGCGGTATATATCTATGGCGTCGTATTATGCGCGGCTGGACAACTTCTTTGCGTTCTACGCTCCGGAGAAACGGCCGCTTGTTGCTGCCCTACTTGAAAAGTACAGTGGTAGAGAGGAGGTGATGATGCAGAGCCTGGTGAAGAAGTTTGGTCCGGAGCCAACTGGGCCAGCAAGCAACTTCCAAGAAAAAGATCATAATTATCGTGAGCGCCTTGTTAATTTTTATACCAAATATGCACCGAAGGAGCTTGCAAAAGTTGATGCAATGCTTGCGAGATTTGCGGGGAGGGAAGATGAACTTTTTTCAGCTCTGGTGCAAAAATATGGACCTGAGCCGTCCATGTTTTGCAGTCGCGGTGACCTTAAAAGTGTGCAGTATATGTCTGACACGCAATGTGAGCAGAACAGCATCGCAAGCAGTGTTGCTGTTTCAGGCTATAATGTGCATGATACCCGATGGCGCTTGGCGCGGATTTTTATGGAGCACGCTCCTGAGCGGTTAGCGATTGTCGATCAAATGATGGAGAAGTATGCTGGTCATGAGGAGGAGATGCTTGTGCGTTGTGTAGAGCGTTATGGCCCGGAACCTCCACCACCGGATACGCAATCACCGAGAAGCCGTTTGTCACGCTTCATTGGGTACTATATGCCACATAAAGTTTCCTCCGTGGAGTCCATGCTGAAAAAGTACGATGGACGCATTGAAGCTCTCTTTGCGGCCCTAGTATACAAACTTGGTCCGGAGCCACCCTCTACTCCTTGTACCACATCAGCTGTGGTAGTTCCTGTAGGTAATGAAGCGGCAGGGCCCAGTCGTGGGGTCACAGCAATCACGGGCGGGTTTCGCGATGATGACGAAAAGGGAAGTCATGAAGTTTACCAGGATGTTGAGGAACCGGGTGAGTGGTTAAAGCATCTTTCGTTACCCTTATCCGCTTATCGTCGGTATGCTGTTAATCGTTTGGGCGAAGATCATCTCAGTGTGTTAGAGAATCGTTTTGGTGTTCCTCGTTTGCTGGATAACAGGAATAATGCCGACGATAGCGCCGTAAAGAGATGGGTCATTGCCAAGAATGTGGTGACTGGAACAGGAAATGTCAATGCTGTCAAAGAGACCGAGGAGTTTGAGGAACCGATGGTTGCTGAATGCATAAGTGCCAATTTTGCATGTTTTGTTTTGGTTTTGGAAACGGTGGAATTTCCCCTGCCTGAGGACTACATGGAGGAAAGTATATTTGCTTGTTATCCGTTTTGTACTTTGCTCGGTGATCGTGACCGTTTTGCTCTGCAGACGTGTGTAAGACTTATGGATTTAAAAACAGGATTTGAAGCAGACACTGTTTCACTCTTGCGTGAGGAGGAAAACTGCCGAGAGCGAGTTTTGCAGCAAGTAGGTAGTTGGAAGCGTCAGCATTGTGTTCAGTTGGAGGACAGGAAGTCGTATATGCAACGTCTTCTCCAGAGGGCACTTGAGCTTTTGCCGGAGTTTGAAGAGAAGGAGCGACAGGAGGTTATCACAGTGGAACAGATTGAACGTAAGGGGAAGGCGTTGTGGTTTCATGAGGGTTTGCAAATGATAACGAGCGCCAACAGGGACCTCTTAACTCCGCACAGCAGACAGAAATGGGAACATGAGAAAAACGTGGCTGGGAGAAGCAGATATGCGGATTTATCATCACCATTCGCTCCTTTTTCTTGTGGTTTTCGACATTTGATCTCACCTCATCCTCTGCTCAGACAAAAGGGTGACGATTGCATTTTGCTGTCTTCACAATCCTCGACAAGTTCTGTGGAAGAGAGTATGAGTGTGCCCTTGGGGGGGAGAAAAGAGACGAGGGATATGGCCACTGTCACAACTCCTGCAATGTATGCTCGCAAACCCAGCTTGCAACGGGCAACGAACGCCGACAGCGTTTTTGGTCTTTTGGAAGTCTCTCCTCAACCAAAAAAGCCTAGTGAGGTGGTGGACCCCATTCAGCGTGTGCTTCGATTTAACGAGCCACTAACGGGAAGCAGACGGACGATGCACACTGAAAATAGGCTAGGCATCACAGGACGTGACAAGTGGGGTCCAGCTAGAGAAGGAAGACTTTCTGAAGTTGCTCCTCCGCCGTGCCAGGATGCACGCGAGGCCATTTTGTTAAGTGAAACGCCAGAAAGTTTTGTGGATCATGTCTCAACCGATCAAAGTGACAGGGCGTCTAGTCCCGCATATCGCTATGTGCCTTTTTTTTTTGAAAAGGAGGATATCTTTCGTTCTGGTCCCTAGAACATTCTATTTTATTTTGTGTCTCATTCTTTTATTTATTTATTTTAGCTTTACTTCAATTAACGACTGTATATTAGGTTGTCGTTGTGGTTGTTGTTTTGTTTGTTTGTTTCTCTCTCTTCTTCGTTGTGTGCATCCGTGTGTGATTGTGTCATGATGCCAGTTCTTGTAGATTATGTGCACCGTCTCCTTTTACTCTTTATTTTGTGTGTTGTGATGTCTATTTTAAATATGTTTTGTGATTTTGTTCTATATTTTGGGTTGTTTTCCTTTTAGTGCCTTCGTGTCTATTTTTTTCCAGGTTGTGTGGGACTATCGTGTATTATTATTGCCCACGTTTTGTTTTGTTTTCCGTTTTTTTTTTTCCTTTCACTCTTCCTTCAGCAGCGCAGGGGCGGGCACCGCTGCTCTTTCCAGATGAATGCGGTGCACGCTGCACACGTAAAGCAAAATAAAAAATACGACTGTAAATAAGTGTATACGTAATGTATACACACGTGTATATCTGTTTTACCACCTACTCTGCACGGATGTAAATGTAATCTCTGCTTGTCGAGCCGCATAACGGAGTTTGTTTGTTTGTTTTTTTGTTTTTTTGCTACCATCACCCATG